GACAGGGAGAGAGCAGACCCAGGCACACGCTGAACCTCTCCACTCCCTGTGGGCAACCCAGCCCCTGGGCCCTGGGCCCCGGTGCTCTGTTGCTCCCCCAAAGGGTGAATTCCTTCCTGCAAACCCTGGGGACCACGTGGCTTTTAGACTTCATTCCCTCTGGACTTCAGAGCCCCTTCTGTCCTTGTGCAGAGACTGTGCTCTCTGCCAGCTGGCCCGCAGGCCCTGGCGATCCAGTCACCTACTCAATTTCCCTGGCAGAGGCCCTTAGGCTGCTGAGAAAACCAGGATGGCGTTAGCCTCATCGCATTGTCTGGTTATGGTGACATGCAGGGAGCCCTTGATGCGGCCCCATCTCAAGACCCAGGGGTCACTGCGGTGAGGCAGGTGGCCCGCCATACTGCAAGCAAGGAGTTTCCTACTGTCCTCATGCCTGCATGGAGCTCTGCTTGCCTCGCTCTTACCCTCACTGTGACCGGATGGCAGGCCAGAGGTTTCCTTCAGACCAGAATCATCTACACTCCTGGTTTGTTTTCACTTTCATTTTTAGCTAATTCTTTTTGCAAATCCATCCTGTGTGTCAACTAAGCATGCACAGAGCGTCGGCCTCTGTGTTTGTCAGAATGCTGTTGCTTACAAATGGCAGGAGCTCAGTTACGGGAAGTCCAGGTGAGACCTGGCCCGGGCATGGCTGGGTGCAGGCACCCACATGATAATGGCAGGAATCTTCTCTCCTTCTTTTGTCTGCTTTCTTTGATCTTGGCATCATCCTCAGCATGGCAGCTTGGTGCCCGGAGGCCTGGAGTGAGGGCCCTCTCTGTCAGGAGTTAAGTGCAGGTATCAAGTCTCCCTGGGCTGCCTTGGGTCACAGAGGTGGTCGTGTCCTAGAGGTGGAGGACCCTAGTCGGCCTGGTGTGGGCCAGGCACCTGCCCATGGCTGGGGTTGAGGGGGGGTCTGTGTCGCCGGTGCCACAGCCCTGAGGCAGTGGCCACCTGTGACAGCCACACACAGGGACAAGGCTTGAAAGCAGCCCATCGAGCCCAGCTCTGCCAGTTGCAGGTGACTGTGACGGACTTGCGCAGGGCCACCACGAGCCCAGGGCTATGTCTGGTTCCGGGATCCCCGAATTTCAGCTCACAGTTTCCTCCCCCAGGGCCCCCAGTCTCTTCCGCATGGGGCAAACAGCATTCCTCTCCTGATAAGCAGAGCGCTTCAAAGCCACTGTCAGGCACTCACCCCAAAGGGCTGTCACGCGGTCCGTGACACAGCTCTGGTGTTCCCTCAGACGGGATGCTCCACCCACTTCAAAATCCAGCCCATGTCACGGCATAAACGGACTAAACACAGGATGGAGCCTGACAGTGGCTTAGACCCAGCTCAGCCCTTTACCTTCCGAGGAGTCGGGGTCAAGATGACTGACCCCCACGGTCCAGAGTGACCTTTTCTGTGGGATAAGATGCTAGTGCCTACCTCCCAGGGCTTGGGTGAGAACTCAGGGAGATAACATACCGAAGTGCTTCGCCCAATGTCAGCCACCTATTAACACCACATTTTGTCTTTTATTATGATTATTTTTATTGATTTGGCTCCCAAATAAGTGTTCTTAGATGAGAACGGTGGAGTTCTTCAGTTGAAAATTTCTTTTTTCTTTTGCATTTTGTCATCCTGTTCTTCCCAGTTTCTGAAGTTACGTTGGTTCTTGGACGGCCCAACATTAATTGCAGGTGCTCGACATTCTGACAGGAAAATGATGCCGGGAAGGAAGTTGAGCCCCAGGGAGTTGTTTGTCGTCATTCTTAATAAACGAGCGGCAGTGGTTGGCGTGGTTGGTTCTCCAAGTTCCGTGTGCACTGCGGTCGCCTGTGCATTTTGGAATTTCAGATGCTTGACATCACCTCTGATCTGGATCATAAGTTTCAGAGAACAGGCTGTTTTTCTCAGAGTCCACCTTTGGTATTGATATTCACCAAATTGGAGGAACACTGGTGTATTATATTCTCTTTGGTTAGACTTGAACTCATATTTAAGTATACTAATGAAGTCGTTTATTTATCCAATACTTTTGATTGACCAGTTTTATATTCTAGGCACTGCTTTCTAGCGTGAGAGATTGATGATTATTAACCAAATAAATTAACAAGAAAGTGTAAAATAGCAGTAAGATCTATGATAAAATAGTAGTTCCTATAAATGAGTCGGGTCTTCTTTAGAAAGAATAATTGGGGAAAGCATTTCTGAGGATTGGGATGGAGACTGCATGTTAAGGGGCCAATTCTGGGAAGAGACTTCAGCAGAGGAAAGAGCAGGTGCAAAGGTCTGGGGCAGGAATGAATATCGTGAGTTTAAGCCCAATAAGGGGCTAAGTATGGGTGGGAGTTATTTACCTCCCATTAGGTACTTTGTAGGGCCAGGTAAAGAAGTGGAATTTTATTTAGAGCTACTGAAGAGTTTTGAGCAGGAATGTGATAGGATCTGATTTATATTTTTAAACAACTGTACCGGTTGCTGTGTAGAGAATGGATTTTAGCGGAGGTGAGGTTGAGTAAATGTTTTTAGATAAGGAGCCTAGAGTATGTTGTAGCCCCCAGCCCTACAGAAAGACATCATAATTAAGCCCTAAAGTTCAATTTATGTAAGGACAACAGAAAATGATTTCCAGGGAGTCAACCACTGCAAAGATTTTGCTTTGGGGAAAGAGGTGAGAAGTGAGCTTAACTTAACAAATGAATTAAAAACATGATGTGCTTTTATTTCCCCACATTAAGCATCTTCAATCCTATCTGTCCTGCTGCTAAAATGTCCAGTGGGTTCCCGGATGGGCATCTGGGAAAGTGGCCTTGGAGGAGACTGGGACCACATAGGGTTGTTCACCCCAGGAGTGTGTGCCTGCCTCAGGGCTACCCACAGACTTTGGAAAAGTATAGCAATTAAAATGATTAATTGTGTTTCTTGGTTCTAATGACATTTCCATGGGAACTCTGTTATGAGAATTCTGGACTTGTGAGTTGTAGAAATATGCGTGGAAGTCTCCCCCTGTGGCAGTGCACGCCTTTGGTGTGACTGGGCCAAGGCTCAACTGTCGGTGCTGTTCCTGTGAGGGTGGTGAGGCATCGGGATTGGACTTCGAGGTGCGTGTGCGGGGGTCCAGACTGAGTTTGAATCTCTGCTTCTCTACTTCCTAGCAGAGTTTTCATAGACAAGTGACTTGTTTCAGATGCCTCATCTGTAAAATAAAGATGATCATAATATCTTCTTACGGGGTTATTACAAGGGTCATAGAGGAAATGCTAATAAAATACTTAGTACAATCCTGGCATGGGGTCAGCACCTTGCACGGATGAGTGCCTTGGGCTTTGTGCTGTGCCTTTTTGGAAGTCCTCTAGGCCCTCGCTGCTTGGAAGGTGGTCCTCAGACCAGCAGCCACATTCCCTGTGCCTCTGAGCTTGTCAGACTCAGAACTGCAGAATCTTAGGGTCCCCCCCAGACCTGCTGAAGCAGATTTTGCACTTGAATGAGATGCCAGGTGATTCTCACAAGCATTTCCATCTGAAAGCGCTGCTCTAAACTGAAATGTACACAGGGAGGAGAACTGCATCAGTTTTGACTGTGGAAGCCTGTTGGCAGCAACATGGTGCAAAAAGACACCAACACCAGGACACAAACACTCCATGACCCAAACTAGCTGGGTAGTTCATAACCCCTCTGGGACTCAGTTTCTTCATCTGTAAAATTATTCACCTATTTTAGAAGTTAATTGAGAGGATAAATGAGATAATGGGAAAGCTAATATCAGGGTAAAAAGTAAGTTGTTTTTATCTTGTTTACACAGAAAAGGAAATCTTAATTCCCATAGCTGTTGATACAGTGTTCAAAGAAATTGATACCCCATTTTCCACATTTGCTTGCTGAGTGGCAATGAATAAGACGTATTATTTGGTGTCTCGATTAAAATAATGGACAGTGACTGTGGTCCAGGAAATACAGCCTGGTATTTTTGGAAACTAAATGGGAGAGTTTTGTAGTTTGGCTAAAAGGCATTGCCCTAGAAAAGACGAGCACAGCGACCAACGGGGTTGTTTATGCCATTTACAGAATGGTCACGGTTGCCGTATAACGTCTGATGGCCATGTGCGGAAGTCACCAGGATGCTTCCAGGTGGTATATTTTAATGTGTCACATGTTGAGTAGCCACAAAAGCCTTTTATTATTTCCAAACATGACAATCAAAGTAAGATGCAAATGACATTGCTTATATTAGCAGGATGTCCTTAAGTACAAAAAAAAAGTCTGAATGTATTCCAGCACAAGAAAAATACACAATTGCACACCAAAGACGTAGTATAATGTAAGAATTTGTGAGGGCATGTGTGAGGACAGCTGAAGTTATCTAGGGCAGGAAAGGGTCTGACACCAGCCGTGCAGGCGACACGCAGCCCATATGCGGAGCCAGCCAGCAAATCTCGCCCTAGGTGCCCAGGGATGAACTGCTTTACCTGATAAGGTATAGATGTGATAACAGGAAATCACCCAAGCCTTAACACCATGTTGAGCAAAAAGAACAGACAACCAAAACCAATTCTCTTTCATACACAACGATCAGGAAATCATGGGATAGAGACACGGTGACTGTGACCACATACAGAGCTTCCAAGAAAGCCACACGCATTTCCACAATTTCTCACAATTTCTCAAACTATCTGAAACTATAGTAAAGCAATTTCTTGAGACACAAGCCCTCCCACCCATGATTCCCTGTCTTGTGTTAAGGACAGAAAAGGAAGAATAGGAAAAAGACTTTTTAAAATAGGGAAATACATACCTTAAAATAGCTAGGCATCAAAATACTTTGTAACAAGTACGTTCTGATTTCCAAAGCACCTTCTCTCTCTTTAATATTTTGAAAGCTGCTTTAGAATTGATGCAGAAAACACCCCCCCTGCCTCCCCCCACCGCCCCGCACCAACAGCAAAAATAGCAGTGAGTTAACTGCCATGTTGCCTTTCAGCGGGAGGCTGGCGCCGGTAAGGAGGCGGTAAAAACAGCACAGCTTTGCTTCTTTCACAAGGAGTTCACTGTCTTTAGGAGATTGTTTTAGTGTAAATAGAGGACTAGAATAGAAACTCAGTCTGTTATGAAAAATGACAAAGCCATATCTGAGCAGCTGGCAGGTCGGCAGCTCTAACAGGTTTTCTTGGGAGAGATCAGAACCACGCTCGCTGTTAAGGAGAATCCTGCCGTTTGGTCCGACTTGGAGCCTGAATCAAGGCTTAGAAGTGGGTGAGCAGGCAGGCATTACAAGCCCCGGGGACATGGACGTGAACACAGGTAGCACGCAGCAGCCTTCACGGCTTCCCCCAGTAACTAATTGGGAAATCAGAGTTTGTCACTTACCCACATTGGATACTTTCAGAAAGCTTGTTACATACCGTTTTCTCCTTCAAAAGGCTTTGCAAGCCTAAAAACAAAAGATGTGTGTGATCATGGCTGTTAACACATTTTTATGTCTTCTAAGTATTTCCTTCCCCCTCTTCTTCTTTCTAAACACCTTGTCTGGATGGTGGGGGTGGGGGGCAAGAGTGACCGGACTGAGGACTATGTCCATGGCCCTGGCATCCTATCCCAAGTTCATGCCATGGCAGCTGCAGAGAATCTCCTTGAACGTGGTGCGCAGCTCCAGGCTGCGGAAGGCGTAAATCAGGGGGTCGATGATGGAGTTGCACATGATGAGGACCAGGTAGGTGTTGAAGTGAGCGGTGTAGCAGACGCAGTAGGGGTTGGTGGGGCAGGCGATGATGAGGATGAGGTGCAGGAAGAAGGGGGCCCAGCAGAAGATGAAGACCCCCAGCAGGATGGTGATGGTGACGGCCCCCTTCATGCACGAGTGCTGCTGCGGGGCCGCTCCATGGGCTGGCGGCAGTGCCGCGATGCGCCGGACATGCAGCCGGGCAAAGAGGAACATGTGCACGTACAGTGTGCCCATGAGGAGCAGCATGGCGAAGAAGATGGTGATGAGACACACGATGACCATCTTGCTCTCGGAGTAGATGATGAACACCACTCCGCAGACGCCGCAGCACGCCCAGATGGTCGCGATCAAGGCGAGAGCCCGCCTCACCGTCATGATGCTGTGGTAGCGGAGCGCGTAGAAGATGGTGACGTACCTGTCCACGGCGATGGCCAGCAGATTGCAGATGGAGGCCACCAGAGAGATGCAGATCATGGAGTCGAAGACGTTGTCCATGTGCTGGATGAACTGGTCCTCGAAGCTCAGGTAGTTGCTGTTGACAATGGCAATCATGACGGTCTCCAGGGCGTTGGACACGCTCACCAGCATGTCGGCCACCGCCAGGCTACAGAGGAAAAAGTACATGGGGGAGTGCAGGTTGCCATTCCTGACCACAGCCAGGATGACTAGGATGTTTTCCAGCAGGCTGATGATGCCCAGCACCAGGAAGACCTCAGGTTTGATGAAGACCTGCTCGCAGAGCCCGCCGCTGCTCTGGTTGCCGAAGGAAGGGGCCGCAAGGGGCTCCGAGCTGTTAGGCAGCGTTGGCTGGGCAGACAGCAGGCAGCACGGTGCAGATGCATTCATTGCTAACAGATGGGCTGATCTGAGCTGGGCTCCAGCCAGGTCCAGAGGAAGCTGCTGTTGCTCACAGGAAAGAAAAATATCTCCCTGCAGATACTTGTTTCAGATGCTTGTCCAGTCTCTCTTAGATTCTGGTCTGTCCCCAAATAACATAAAAGAACGGAGAGAGAGAGAGAGAGAGAGAGAGAGAGAGAGAGAGAGGGAAAGAGAGAGAGTGAGTGAGTGAGTTACACAGTGAACTTTCCTCTGCTTCTCCAGGACAGGCAGTTTTGTAGACACTCTTTTATCTGCCGGTTTCCTTCTCTCTCAACTCTTACTCCCTCTCACGTCCCCACCTGGGAACAGAAAACCTGCCTTTAGTTGCTACAGTACGGCTGTTGTCACAGCAAGACGGGGGACGTGGTACCTGTTGTTAGAAGTGAGGGGTGAACACTCAGTTTTTATACATTGCTGGAAGCAAACAACTCCTACCTAATCTTCAGCACAGTGAATTGACCACTGAGCGCCGGGCGCCTCTCTGACTGACAGCAGCACCGGCTCGCAGGGCTTGGGCCGGGAGATGAAGAAGCCGACCGGTGCCCTCTGCAGGCCAGAAGGCTCCTCTGTTTCCTGGCTGGGCTGAGCAGTTTTTGTCATATGAACTGCCATTGGCATCCCTTCATCCATTTATTTGTTCATTCATTCATTTATTTTTTATAGTAAACATTTATTGAACAACCACCACCTGTCAGGTCTCTGCTGGGCGCAGGGAATATCGTGGTGAGCAAGACGTACACACTGTCCCTATTTTCCCCAAACGCAGTCTGGGGTGGGAGACAAGAAAGCAGGCAATTATACTTCCGTATGATGAACACTTGAAGTGGGAGGGCCAGGGACTAAGGGAACATAGAGGGAGGACCTGACATGCATGGTCAGGACAGGTTCCAGAAGAAGGAGCATCTAAGCTTTGACTTTAAGGAAGAAGAGGGGATATCCAGTGGAGAGGACAAGTGGGGGTGAGAGAGGTAGAAGAGGATTCCGGGCAGGGGGGAGGGCATGCCCAGACCTGGAGGCAAAGCACAGTGCTTCTCCATCCTGGCCACGGGATCATCCAGAGATCCTGGGTGCAGGAATCCCACCTTAGCCCCCGAATGAGGACCACCCAGGGGTAGGACATGGGCAAGTGTGTTTACAAGTTTCAGCAGGTGAGCTGGGCATAGCCAGGCCTGAGACCTACTGAAAAGGAAGCTTGGTGTTTTTAAAGAACTGAAAGTAGTTAGCTCTGGCCAAAATGTGCAGCTGGGAGACTCAGTTTGTGATATGTAGCTGCAGAGGTTTTTTTTTTTTTTTTTTTT